AAAACGTAAACGTTTACTATACGAAACTGGGGTCTGGTTCCCAGTTCCGTTTAAGGAAAAACGTAACTGGAGTCTGACACTGATTCCTGTCCTTGATTCAGATATAACTACGGGCCTTTGACCTTTCGTTTTGCGAAGTAGACAGGGAAAGATTTAACAAAAAACGTAAATGTTTACTATACGGAACTGGGGTCTGACACTCAGTTCCGTATAAGACCAATTACTTTATAGAGGCTATGGTAGTCATAATTTTCCTGTGAAAGGTTGTTGATTTGAGTTCCCAGTCGATTATAAGAGGCTGGCTATTATGTTTTTCTGAAACAGACCTAGTATTTTGGTCGAAGTTCGAATTATAGTGTTATTTCAAATTTAAACGGATCTAGTGTCTGGTTCCCAGTTCCGTTTATGTTAAATGGAACTAGGGTCTGGTTTCATGTTCCGTTTATGTTAAACGGAACTAGGGTCTGGTTCCTAGTTCCGTTTATCTTAAACGTTACTAGGAACTAGGAACTAGGAACCAACTTCAGGCTCCCAACATACAACGCATTTATTTATTACTCTCTCCTTGAACGAAACAAATCTTTACAATCCTAAAAGTAAAAAGAATACGAAGAAAAAAATGACGTATTAGTGGTCATGTATTGGAAACTGGCAATGCTATGTTACTCCTATTTAATACAATTTTCCTTTTTTTATATTTAAAAAAAAAATCAATCTTATATACAATGTAGATATATAGTTTCCCAAAGTGAAATCATCCTTACCAGTATCAATCAACGCGGGAGGAACTTTCGTGTCTTTCTTTTTATCTTTTGACGTCATATCTGATTCCCGTTGAGCACGCCTCCTATCAACTTGCCAACGCGAACATTTGTGTGAGCACAGGAATTTGAAGAGGAAATATCCAAGAATTACGACGACTACTACTGCCAAACAAGCAAACCAGCCAGGCATCTTAGTCATGTCTCACTGCTTGTCTGTCCTGATAAACTCCACTTTCCTTTTATAAACGGAAGAAGGAAACAATGTTAGATATGATTACCTTCCCATCATGTCAGTAGGACTGTAATCTTCATCCCTTATATATATGATACCTAGTTAAAAACATATTTTAGTTTCCGGTTGTCATAAAGGAAACAAAGATTTGATCTTCTTGCAGTTTAAGTAAACAAAATTACAAACTACATAACTTGCAAATAAAAAGCAATGCCTGTCCTGGTAAACTTCGCTGTCCCTTTATAAATGGAGGGAGGAAAACTTTATCGATCATATTACCTTCCCATTATATTAGAAGGAATGTAATCGTCATCCCTTATATATATGATACCTAGTTAAAAACATATCTTAGTTTCCGGTTGACATAAAGCAAACAAAGATTTGATCTTCATGAAGGTTAAGTAAAACATTTTATAAACTACATAACTTGCAAATAAAAATTAATACAATGTATGTAAGACATACGGATACTGGCGCAAAATTAATTTTTCAAGATATATACACAGCTGTGACATCATTCTCTTCACATTATATATGATGTAGCGGGGAGACGGCTATGTCGTGTGTAGTTTATGTGTGGTAGGGACGTTTGAGTGTCCCATTTTGTCTGCATAATGTCATTGAAAAGATCGGATAACAAGTGACTGGAATGACCCAGCTCTCTCAAGCAGTAAAATACAACAGATGAACATGTCTAACGCTTGATCCTTTAAGGAACCTTCCGTATCCCATATCACACATTACTTATTAACATCTGACATTCTCAGTCATGCATACTCACTATATATAACTAGACCGAGAACTACAAAGGTTTAAACCCGGTACACGAACACAATACTTTCCAAAGGCTTCATATTTTCTTATTTCATGTACACAAATAGCCTATATATAAAACACCTGTTCGTTGCATTCATTAAATATTTGCGTTATTTGTTTTTAATAATTTATTTTCAGTTAAAAATGGATTCCTGAGGTTTTTTGACAAGATCTGGCTTATGAAATATATAAATTGTCATGGTGTTTTCTTTAATTCTCTTCTTTATGGTGAATTGCTGGCCAGTTTCAGAATTTTGTTCCACAAGTTGAAGAAGGAAAATACTGGTATCGATGTTAATCATATTTGTAACCAGACCTTTCAGCGCTAAAAATTACCAAATCCCGGGGACCTGATTGCTTTTATCGGCGTGTCCTTTAACTACAAATTCCACAGCAATACCGTCGGAGATGTTGATCAACATTTCACAGAAATGTGGTAACATACCGAACAAAAGCCACTTCCAAAAAAGGCGATAAAAGCGAACCAATACGCTGTTGACCTATCACCTTGACATCAATTGTTTGTAAGGTACTGTATATCCTCTTGTTGAGACACACAGATGATCACTTGAGGGTGGTCGGGTGGTGCAGTGGATAGCGCACTTGCCTTTCACAAAGTCGGCCGGGGTTCGATTCCCCGATTGGACGGGAAAAGGTTGGGGTCACCTAGTACTAATATTAATACCCGGCCTCTTCTGCCCCGGCCGGGTATTAAATCGATCCCATGCCTTGTAATGGAGCAAGCCCGGTGTGAATCACACCGGGGCGATTTTAAAATAAATTGACAGCACATTGGTCCGCATACATAAATATGGTTGTAGTATGAACTATTCTGTTGATATCCTGCACAACTTTAAGTTAAACTCTGCCTAAAATGTCGTTAAATTATCAAGTTAACGTAGCAAGCGTAATCGAAATCTGAATTGACCGCCATGTTGGAAAGTTCGTCTCTCTTCCGATATAGGTCAGACGTCCAAATATGGGTGTCATGACCCAATATGGAAATTGTAGTAAACATGGCGGCATCAGTAGTAATACTATATTTGGCAATGCAGGCCATATATAGAAAGGATAATTGAGATAACATCACGCGTGATCTGTCAAGGCGGTCGTTTCTATTTTTTCCCCAAGACGGACTTGGTTAATTTCGTAAAAGAGTTTTTGCATGGGTAAGGATTCGTTTTTTCAACAATTATGCAATATTTTGATAACATTATACTCATATGAGGCGTGAATTATATGCAATCTTACAGATTAACACTTTCGATTTTGCTCCATTAGTTGGCATAGGACCGCTTCGTAGCTCTGACGACGCAATATATAAAAAAAATCTCCCGTCGCCAGAAAGCTACGTTATCGCAGCTGGGGTCACCTACCCGATCACGTGGGTTTTCTCCGGGTACTCTGGTTTCCTCCCACACTAAGACCTCCACACACTAACATCTGGGCTAACAAGAGTGATTAATATAAGTTGAAATAACTTGTTTCATAATTATTGATAAATAAAGTTTATTATTATTATTATTATTATTATCACTTGAAGCAAAATGAGTTGCTCTCGCCGAGCACTATGAAGTCAACTACTCTACAGCTTTCTAAGGTACTTGGTAAATGAACCGATGCTGTAGATCAACGTTTATCTATACGTAACCTTCGTTCAAAAACAAACCAGAAGATCTAGGTTATTTTGATTGTTTGATAGGATGGAAAGACCTACACAGTACACAATATATGACATGAACACTGTAAATCATTTCATACCCCATACACAACGACTGACTCGATAGAAAGTATGAGCAAAATGTAACATTTATGTAAACATATATCTGCACTCGTCACTTACTTACCAGGGAATAACGATGGATCTGCGATGACAGATGCAATAGAATGCACAGTCTGATTCCTCTAAAGATTGTTTATGTAATGGTGGGAGTAATAATCGCACAGGAAATGCCGGGTGCTTATCAGGCACAAACAATCAGTCGAACCTCTCTGAAATGCCTGTGTGTTGCACAATACACTTGTAGACGCGGGAACATAAAATGAAGGGGATTACAGTGGGGCCAACCCAGAGAAATCGGTCAACCATGACTGTCGTATACAGAACCGTAGGATCTTGGAGTATTTATAGAAAAAGACCAAATAGTGCGCAAGCTAATTATATAAAGAGGCAAGTAAATGATCGCGCTAATAAGATGAGCTTTGCAATACATGAATGAACGTATGGTGGCATATTTCTGCCATCCACTTGCGACTTACGAGTTACGTATGTCGAAATAACTATTGAAAGATGTCTACATAATCTGATAATATGTCGACATAATCTGAGAAGATGTCGACATAACTGTTAAATTATGTCGACATATTATCACATTTGCCGAGATAATTTTGCCGAGATAATTATCTCGTAAGTGGGTAACTCGGCTTTTTATCGTGTTAATGCTCGGGTGTGACATCGACTTGCCACTTACGATTTGCCACTTACGACTATTGAAGACACGCCCTGTGGGGCACACATAGAGAGGTGTTTTATCTGGGACACGCCCTGTGGGACGTACCTACAGAGGTGTTCTATGAAGGACACGTCCTACAGGGCGTACCTAGATAGGTTTTCTATCAAGGACACGCCATGGGGGCGTATCTAGAGAAGTGTTCTATCTAGGACACGTCCCGCGAGGCGTACCTAGAGAGGTGTTCTATCTAGGACACGTCCTGTGGGACTTACCTTGGGAGGTGTTCTATGGAGTACACGCCCTGCGGGGCGTACAATGTATCTGAAGAGGTGTTATATCGAGGACGTCCCGCGTTGTACCTGGAGAGGAACCGACGTGACTCTTCTATTCTATCCGCAATGTTTTCAGAATTATTTATATTCAACATAAGAACACGTTTATGTCTTTGGATTCTAACTGATCATAATATTTAAAAATATAAACTTTGATTTTTTTTTGAACTAGAATAGAATAAACATGTATATGTGAACATTTTCAAAAAATGACAGGTAAAGATAATCGTCCAATCGATGACTACGACTGCCGTTAGATATATGTATTTCGACAGAGTTTGTAGCCTATATACAGTTGGCCAGCAAATAAAGCAAAACCTACTGTTTCGTATATAGTCATTTAAAAGAATGAGGAATTGAGGCTTTCATTTTATACGTAACTCAAATTTTATAGCTATTTATGACCAATGTAATGATTGATGCTTTCTGATGGTGTCTAAACTGTTCAGTTTGTCCTTTTCTTGCTAATATCACTTCAGATTGAAACCACAATGACTTGAGCATTTATTTCAGCTATATATGGACCTAAACTATATAGTGCTCAGAGTAATTTTACATGTATTAGGGGTTTAGATCGAATTTCGGTGAAAAATGTCCACCCCCAATGATTATACCAAATATTACCTGCTTCATTTGCCGATGAAATTGACCAGAATTTAGAGAAGGGGGCTAACTATTGACAGTTTTAAACAAAGAAGATACCTTTTGTACGAGATTTTACATTTTTATTGAATATACACAAGAAATTGTTCGAGCAACCAAAATCGACCAATAAGCAATATAATACTGTCGCTAGCGGTTGTCACAATTCATGAACTGCCCTGGGAATTCTTCCTCCAGCCATCTATTCTGTCTCTTGTGATCAATGTCAATCCCCGGTACAAATCGAAAACAACGTGGAGCACACATCCATGTGGTCACGTCACGTATGAAACGCAGTCGAACAGCAAACTGCCATATCAAATTCTTTCGTCCTTTAAAGCCACGTCTGGTTTCCTGTCTAATTCAACATTCAATTAATGCAGCTTTACATTCCAGAAGATGTAGAACCTCGAAATTTAAAGATTCTTCACTTCGAGCTAGTAAAATGATGGCTGCCGTAGACTCCCAGCTGAGCCTGGGCACCGCGCCTAGACATTATTCATATTCGATGACGCATCAGAAACTTTAATATCTAAACGTATGCATTCATAAACAAAAAATAAATATGATATTCAAAACATGTTTTGTGTTTGTTTTCTTCATAATTCGCTGTATTGAACTATAAGCGTACAACATCATTTTGTTAATGGTCTTTCAATGACGGACTATATTGTTTTACATTACATCAATACGTAGACTTCCATCAGCTCCGACATATGGGACACACGATCAGAATGTACTTTCACTAGTTCCAATTATTGAAAAAAACACATGTTGATTGAAATATCAGAATTGAATCTTGCTTTGGGCGATTTCACGGGGTGATGAATTGAGTAGTCTCGTAACAAATTTAACATGATCTGCTTTCGCCATGAAATCGGCCAAAACACGACCCAATCCTTAAATAAAGACGGTATGTTAAACTAAATGATCAGAGGTATACATTTTTGATCTTCGCTTTAGAAAACGAGATATTATCATTTTTGTCTGAAATGCCGCTTCAAAATCTATAGTAAAATAATTGTTCACCTGGATGGGAAAACCCGCGCAGGAAGAAATATTTAAACACGGCTTAGTAGAGAGAGATCTATTTCAATAACAGACATCTTCATTTCAATTAGAGGAAAATTTCTATTATAGACATCTTTATTTCAAACAATGATATCGCTATTTCAATAACAAATATTTTTATTTCAATTACAAATATCTTTATTTCAAATAGATATATCTCTATTTCAATAAGACATCTTTATTTCAAATAGAGATATCTCTATTTCAATTACAGACATCTTTATTTCAAATAGAGATATCTCTATTTCAAATAGAGATATCTCTATTTCAATTACAGATATCTTTATTTCAAATAGAGATATTTCTTTTTCAATAACAGACATTTTTATTTCAAATAGAGATATCTCTTATTCAATCTAAACATATCTGTATTACATCAAACGACATATCATATAAATGTGAAAAGCTAAATTTTAAATAAAATAAAAATAGCTTCAAATGTAATAGAGATATTTATATGAATGAAATATATCTCTTAAATTGATAGAGATATGACTTAAGCTATTGAATGTTCAATTTGACACTTTATTTTGCTTTCCTTCCAGACGTTTTTACTTACCACATACTAACATTTACACAAGCTCGCTCGTCTGCTATATCTCTCTTCCATCAAAGATTCCATACAACTTTGCATCGAACGTTATACGTCTGCAACAAACTGATCTATATTCCTTGAAGTGATCGGTGATTAGTCTTAATTAGCCTTACTACAGCTTGTACACTATATTTAAACTTATAGGACTTGCATAGAAAGAAAGAAAATTATCATTTAAGGGCGTGTCGGGTTTTAGTGGTGAAGGAAAGCCTGAGACCACCAACAGAGGGCCAGAAACTGGCGACTGTCAACGTAGGTCTCGAACCCGCGACCCAGTGGTGGAGGGCTAGTGGTAACAGAATGTCAGACGCATTAATCACTTGGCCACTGCGGACCCCCTCTCGATTTGAAACTTTCCTTCTTCACCACTGAAGGGGAACAGATGATTATTGATCAATACTAAAACAATATTATTAACCATGTCCAAGATAAGATCTAAGACATTTGTGGATCAACGTAATGAAATAAAACACGGTCTGGTGACACAAGAAGAAATGTTAAAGAAGTTTGCACTGGTGTTCAAAATAGTGGTAAAATGTGTCACTGAAATGGGGTTTTTTCATGTCGTTTGCGATCTCGAAATAAAACAAAAAAACATACGGAAGTATTTAAATTAACGCCCAAATAAACAACAAAATATCTGATAGTGTCGACAATATCCGGGTACAAACCGGATTCCTATTGTTGAAGTAACAGTGTGTTGTTTTTTTTTATCTCAAACATTGCAATGACACTTCCTGGTTTCCTAATTCTCTCGTGTGGCTATAGAATATCTGAGGATATGAAACATCATAACAGGTATTTTAGGAAGACTAGAGAAACGGATAAGCGACTCGGACATGTTTTCCAAAGTTTACACAAACAATAAGTCGGCTACAACCAATGGCAAAAAATCGTCTTTGCTTTTTCAAATATATTTAAATGATCCCAAATACAATGTATTTGTTTTCATTCAAAAACTTGAACAAGTAGTCTTCAAAAAGACCAAAAGATGAGTTACAATGGCGGTTGGTATTTTAAGTTTTGACAAAACCGTCCTAGTAAGTGTTTTTTAAGAGATTTACATGAGTTGATGTCGAATATGTCCTCGAGAACTGATAATATGGGATGGTGGAGTTTTCACTCAAGTTACCCAGACATGTTTGACATAAATTAAAATATTAACATTATTACACATAATTGCCTCAAAATGTCTCATCATACTAGTCTGGGCTCCCGGATATGTTGGAAAACTAAAGGTAATGAAAAGGCAGATCGCGTCGCCAAAGCGGCATAATGACATTCAACTGTTGATTTCAAACTTCCTTCGACACCGTTGTTTTGAAATCGTTTATAAATAAGTCAAAGTGGCAAAATAATTGAAGTAAATTAGTAGACAGCAAATTACACTCTGGTAAATGACAACCCAACTATAAAAAACCGCAGAGACAAGGCTGTCCTTGCCTGTCTCCGGATGGGTCATACATGTACATACCTTACCCATTATTATTTATTGAAATGCAAAAACCAGCCTTAATTCAAAGCATGCTACTAACCAATTACTGTAAAACACTTATAATAAGATTCAACTGACCTTCAAACAACACGAGTTAGGGTTTTACGGTAGATTTGCCAGAGGCCACTTGTAATTATATCAACAATAATTACATCCAGACAACCAGGTATTTTTTATATTTACATATTTTTCTTTTTTAAGACATATTCCTACAAAAACCATTTGTCCTGCCTCAAAATACATTTCAGGCGGCCATTTTGTTTGTTTACATATTCCTACACCTGAAACAGGCAGTTGTAATTATAGTCGAGCAGTTGTAATTATAGCCTATATAATTACACTTGCCCTCTAACACTGTTGTAATGGAACGGCGCGGGGGCAAATGTAAATTTGTACATGTAATTATAATGCGGAACAGACAATACAGAAGTAACAACCCGCGATTCTTTTTCTTTT